GCAACTACGCGGAGCGGGTGGGCGCCGGCGCCCCGGTGTACCTGGCGGCCGTGCTGGAGTACCTGACGGCCGAGATCCTGGAGCTGGCGGGCAACGCGGCCCGCGACAACAAGAAGACGCGCATCATCCCCCGGCACCTGCAGCTGGCCATCCGCAACGACGAGGAGCTCAACAAGCTGCTGGGCAAGGTGACGATCGCGCAGGGCGGGGTGCTGCCCAACATCCAGGCCGTCCTGCTGCCCAAGAAGACCGACAGCCACAAGGCTAAAGCCAAGTGAGCGCCCACCACCAACGCCCGGGAAGTTTTTCCCAGAGAGACCCAAAGGCTCTTTTCAGAGCCACCCACTAGATCACTGAAGAGCTCAATTGCTTTAAGCTTGCTTGGGAACGATTAGGAAACACCGGTGGTGGTGTCCCTGTTACTAAGGAGAACAAATCTCCAACGAATGCCTTTAGGTGTTTCAAGTGGGTTTTTTAGACCTGTTTTAAATGTATGTTAATTTGCGTGCAGGGGAGATTTAATTCTCGCAAACTAAAGCGTTTCACGACTCGCATCCTACAGATCGACTCACAAGCGGGAAATAAAATCTTTCCCTGCCCCATCCTATCTTACGGCTGAAGCGAACGCCCGAGCCGCAAGCGAAAGCCCGCCCCGCCCCTCCGCTCTCCCTTCTCGCGTAGTCGCACACACGCAGGCGGAACAGAAAGCGTTAAGCACCGGCTACAGGTCTGTGTTTAAAAACAAAAGGAATGAATTTGCAAGTCCCCGAATACTTACACCGCCCTGAAGCCTCACAGTAGGGAGCGATTTCCCCGGGGCCGGAGCAGCAGCAGCAGCACAGGCTGCCCCCAAGGCAAAGTTCCTCCGGCTCACGGCGCCGCTCTTCATGAGCTTCCGTGGGGGGTAGGCGCTTTAGACCTCATAGCTAAAGCCATTCCCACCGTGTACCCGCGATACAGAAAAAAGCCCCTGATTTCAGCCCTTTTAAGAAAGAAGTGGGTGGCTCTTAAAAGAGCCGTTGGGTTTAAGCGCGGAGCAAGAGTTTTCTCCCACGGGGGTTTACTTCTTCTTGGGCGCCGCCTTCTTCGCCTTGGCTGCTTTCGGCTTGGCCGCCTTGGGCTTGGCCGCCTTGGGCTT